AAAGAGGGAAGGTGAGGAAGAGGAAGTCGCCGGAGCGCAAGTTGCGGGCAGCCCACAAACCACTCAGACGACAAGAGATGGACGCCAGGCGGGGACAACTCCACAGAATTCTCCTGCAGTTGGTGCTGCTGCTGCTGGCGGTGCTCAGGCTGGGCAGCCCACTGCGGAGGATGGCGGCGACACGCAAACCTCCGTTTCTGCGGTGTGAGCGGGAGCAGCACCTGACAAGGCGGCTGGTGCACCGAAAGGCAGTGCGAAGGCAACAGCAGATCCGCCAGCTGCGGACACCACCCACACAGTGACTGCGACAGCCGACAGTGACGGCAGCACCGCGGCCTCGCACTGCACCTCCCTCCTTGCGCTGCTTCTTCTTGCGTGTGCGGCGGCTGCTGCGATGGCGGTTGTGTGAGGGAGCGGTGCGCAGCTCGTCTTGTTTTTTGTTTTTGTTTCTCTTTCTTTTTGTGTGTGTCCTCCTGCACGGAGTGTCGCCCTCGCCGCACCCCACGAGGCACACGCATAATGTGCTCATACATGCACGTCCACTCATGCAGGCCCGTTGGTTGTTTTTTTTGCCTTCACCGCGTCGCTGCCGTCGTGCCTGGCTGCATGGGTAAAGCAGCGTAACCGTTTTTGTTATTTTGATTGTTTCCATTGCCTTCAGTGGGCGACCTCCCTCCCTCCCTCCTCCTTCCTGGATTGGGCTGTACGGGAAGCGAGGGCGTGTGTGTGTGTGCTGGTCGTCCCACCTGCTGCTGCGCGTCCCCACTGCTCGGTGGACGCTCCACGCTTCGGCTTCACTTCACGGGGTTTGTTTTTTTTTGTTTGTTGGTTGTGTTTTTGTTGGGTGCAATTATTCTTTAGCCTTTGCCTTAGGCGTCTTTTTTTTGCAGGCGCCTGCTTGTTTGTGTGTGTGTGTGCCCTTTTCTCCGTCTCTTTCTCGTGTCCACGTTGTTGGCCGCTCGTTGTCGAAGCAGCAAAGAAGCATTATTTTGTTTTACGCGCACGTCATGCTGCGGTTTCCCCCTGCCTCGCCGCAGTCTGCGCGGCTGCTGATGGTAATTGTGGTGGCGGTGTGTTGTGGCTGCAGCTGCGTTGCTGCGGGCCCGGTGTCGTACCCGTGCAGCTTCGATGAGGTGATGCGGGGTGAGAAGTTGTTGTTTGCCGCGGTGGTGAAAGTCGTCCCTTCGGCAGGCGAGCCTCAGTCGGAGACGTACGTTGTCGTGAAGGAAGAGTGGGCGCCGATCCGCATTGTGGCGTCAATGAAGGACCTGGAGGATAATAACAAGCATTGCGGGTCGCCTATGCTTAACAGACCGAATTTGCGTGGCGGAACTGTCAGCTGTTCACAAGAAGACGTTTTAACTCGAAATGGCAAGAAAGAAATACTCACCAGCGCCATTAATGTCGCCATCAAACTGCACGCGGACCGTCTTCTTGTCCAGCCGCTGAAGGGTCCGTTGAAGGTGCCAGACTTCCCCAGTGGCAGCATTTGCGGGCAGTTCACGGTGCCTCCTGAGCACAATTCCAAGGGCGTTGACAATGCTGACATGGTGCTGTATGTGGCGGCTGCGCCGGGCGGTGTGTGGGCGTTGCCGTGCGCCACGCTGGAGAACGGCCGCCCAATCGTTGGGGTTGTGAACTTTGGCCCGGCGGATTTGCGTTTTCTCCGGCTCGCCACCCGCATCGCTGCGCACGAGATCGCCCATGCCTTGGGGTTCGACTACGGGAAGATGGTGGCGAGCCGCATGGTGACGAATGTGACCAGCGTGCGTGGCAGGGCGTTGTCGGTGGTGGTGAACTCGACGAACGCCGCGATGGCTGCGAGGGAGCACTACAACTGCGACAACATTCAGGGCATGGAGCTGTATGACTTCAAGGGGGACGGGACAACGCTGCAGTCGCACTGGTCACATCGCAACGCGAAGGACGAGCTGATGGCTCCGCTCGGGGGTGCCGGCTACTACACGGAGCTGACGCTGGCCGCCTTCGCCGACTTGGGCTACTACAAGGTGAACTGGGCGATGGCGGAGCCGATGGGTTGGGGCAGGCAGTCGGGGTGTGACCTGCTGGAAAAGAAGTGCTCTGAACTCGTGAGTAAATATCCCAAAATGTTCTGTCAACGGGGCGGTCCCCACCTGCGCTGCACGTCAGATCGTTATTTCAACGGAACGTGCGATTCGAACATCATTGAAATGTCGCCCAATGTGCAAACGGACGTGTGCTTAACGGTTGCGGCTTTGGTGCCTACGGAGGACTTTAATCACGTCTTTAAGCAGGAGCAGCAACAGCGGGGGAAAAAAGGCCCACAAGGTCAAAAAAAGAAGACAGAAAAACTGCCTAATCCCACGTGGTGCCTGGACAGGAATCTTCCACCCAATGAGGAGGCGGAGGAGGAGGAATACGAACAACCAGATGCCGTCGTTTACGCAGAGGTGATGTGTGCCGGAAACGAGGTCAAGCTGAAAACAGGGAGTGGGGTTTTATGGCAGGCGTGCAAGGCCGGAGATACAGTCACCGGGAGCCGCACCCCTTTCAATAACGAGGGCGTCATCTGCCCTGAACACGCGGAAGTGTGCACGATATCCGTTAACGGCAGCAGCCTTCTCCCAGTGGTTAAATGGAACGGCGAAGAGAAGGTGTGGAAGAGAACGGCCCCTGCAACCCCTGTGGAAAAGCCAGCGCCAGTGCCAGTGCCAGTGCCGTCAGAGGGTGAACCCGACAGCGGCAGCAGTGAGCAGTCTGGACGTCCACCGTCAACGCCTTCTGCTCCTGGCGGTGGAACTGGCAACAACGGTTCGGAAAGCGGCGCCCCGTCGACGGAGCAGGAATCCATTCCTGTGGCTCCGCAGGGGGCAGGAAACGGGAGCGAACACCACGATAACAACCACGGCGCCGCGGGTGGTGTGAGTGCGTTTGGAGAAAAACAGCCAACGAATGAGGACGCAGCCGACGAGGCGGGTGCCGGTGGAAACGCTGCAGGACTCGACGGCCATGATGCGACGGGGGGCGCACCAGGCCCGGTGGAACTTCCGCGGAGGGACGATGACGATGCCGCGGTGGGACGCGGTGATGGCGGGGGAGGCAAGAGGGACGCCTCGTCTCCGACCCACGGTGGTGACACCGTGGCGTCTGCTGGTCTCTCTCCGTTTTTGCTTCTTGCCATTGTCGCCGCTGCAGCACTTTATTGAGCATTGGCGTGGGTGGCCCTGCACGGTGCGGCAACCGCGCCCACCTCCTGCGTGGTCCGCCCCCAGCAGTGCATGCGCAATAAAGAAATAAACCCATTTATGTTTATGCCCTTTTATGCACATATATACGCCTGTACTGTATACGCTCCGTTTTTCTTTGTTTTTGATATCAGGAATGCCGTTTCACACACTCCACCCTCTTACTTTGCCTGCTTATAATGGAACCCATATACAATTCCATCTTTTATTTTCTTGTTTTGCGAATACCAATCGTTTTTACTCTTTCTGAAGAATGCAGTGCGGTGTTTGTGTGTGTGCGAGGGACCCCGCTTGCATTCAGAGTTTTGTTGTTTTCAATTTTGCCTTGGCTTTGCGTAATGATGCTTCCCTTCGTGTGTGTGTGTGTGTTTTGGGGACGACGGTAAGTGAGGTATGTGGAGGGGCAAATAATTGCTGATGCTAGGCGGTGTGGTGCTGCCGTGCGGTTTGCCTGCCAGTGCGGCGGCATTGTGGGTGCGCTTTGCCTCCATCTTGTTGTGGTTGCAGCTGAAGGGCAGCTGGGATGCTGGTGGGAGGGGAGCTGAAGGCGAGCAGCGGGCTTTTGTGCGGCGCATCTTTTCCCACGCGCCCTGCAGCCGCAGCCGTTTGGGCAGCTTCCCTGGAAGGGCACCTTGTGCGGTTGCTGTGTCGTCTTCGGGTGCCGCCTCCGTGGCGACCGGAGCGGCGTGTGTGCGGGCGTTTGAAGTGCCTCGCAGAGTGCCGCAGCCGCGCATTTTTTTGAGCACAGTCTTGGGGAACGCTTCCACCAAATGTAGCGAGCTACGACAGGAGCTTGGCAGCATTGATGGGTGTGTGCCGGAGGCCGTTGCCTTCGCGTCGACGGCGGACTTGTCTCTGTTCATCGCGGGTTGTTGCGGACCGACTCGCGCCGCTGGTGCTTCTCCTGGTGACGGCGTCAATGTTTCGACGCAGCAGGGGTGGACTCTACGTGAGTAGTGTGATTGGGATTGCAGGCAGGGACGCAGTTCTTCTTCTCTTGGCGTATGGACGAGCCTTCTATGCGGTCGTCGGAACCACGTTCCGGAAGCCCACGGCGCGGTTTGCTCTGCAGAGGCGCGCTGCTACGGATTGGGGCACTCATGGGAGACGCGGTGCCGTGCTGCGGCTGCCGGGGCCTCGACGCCTTTGTGTGTCACGCGGTGGGCATTGTGCGGCACACGTTGCGGCGGGATCACGGCATCTCGGGAGTGTGCCCGGTTTGTATTTTGTTTGTCGCGTGGTGTTGGGCGTGGAGCTCACGTCGCGGCGTGGTGCGTTGCTGCAGTGTGGCTGTGGCGAAGGTGCAAGGAGGCAGGGTAGACATGACGCGCGGCAGGCGTACCTGCAGCTGCAGTTAGTGTCCGACAGGAGCGGGGAACGGACAGACGACACTGGCCGCATGACCGCTGCGCCGCGGCAGTGCGACACAAACATGCCGGTCGCTGAAGGGCCTGGCTAAGGCGGGGGCAGCGTGTGCCTCGTGCCGTGTACACCGAGTTGGAAGAGTTTGATTGGTTTTGTTGCTTTATGTTCGTTGTAAGTCTTTTGCTCTTTTTTCTATATATATATATATATATTCCCCGCCTAAAAGGCCTGCGCCACCACTAATAATGCCGCTGCTCATGCTCAAACAGAAGCAACACAGGCAGTTTATTCAGGCGATGTGCCAGCCACGCCGCAGCACGCCGTTTCTCCTACTGGCGGTGTTTTTGCTGCTGTTGGTGTGTTGCACCGCTGGGTGCCTCGCCGTCGCTCCCGCCCGGAAGCACCGCTGCGGGTTTGCCGAGATGATGAGGAGGGGGCCGCTGGCGACTGCGGTGGTACGTGACGTGCCGCGCAGAGGACAGGGCGAGATGCATGCGTACACCGTCGCCGCACAAGGCGTGGGGAGTGAGTGGGCCCCGATCCGCATCAAGGTGTCTGCGAAGGACATGGACGATCAGTTGAAGCACTGCCTCCCAGGGAAGCATTGGCGCCTGGTCGGTAACAGCTG